CAACCCTAACATCATAAGCCCTAAACCCTAAAAACCCTTATTCCTCCCTAAGCTGTATGTCGTAAATCCTACATACCCATCCCGGGGTCTGAAGCACCAAGACTCGCTCAAGATATAGAGTTTAGGGGTCTAGGGTTTAGGGTTTAGGGTTTAGGGGTTTAGGGTTCAGGGCTTAGAGTTTGGGGTTCAGGGTTTAGAGTTAGGGTTTAGAGTTCATGGTTTAGGGTTTGGGGGTTTTGGGTCTGTAAGCAATGCAACCCCGACCCCTACATCAACGCCTAAAGCCCGCGCGAAGGAGAGAAGTTCCGAGAGGCATTCATGTTACCCTAAACTGTAAAGCCTTAATCCCGTTAACATGTGAGACTTCTTCCATCTCGTTTTGTTCCGTAAGATACCACAATTAACCCTACTTATTGCTATGTAGCATGCGCTCCCACTCTAATGGCAGTTGATGGTTGAACGGTGAGATTCCACCATCCATCTTGGGTGTGCAGGAACGTACCTCAACATACCATGATTTATCCTCACTCTTTCTATATCATATATCTACATGAGCTACAGTCTAAATTCCTAGCATCCCCCTTAATAACCCCCGTAATACTCCCCTATATAATTCCCTATATAACCCCCTTTAAGGAGTTTAGACTGTAGCTCATCTACACATTTTATGGCCGTTTATTGATCCCAAACAGCAGCCCGGAAAGAGGCCCTGATGCTTTGCAAACTCCCCATACGCCTGCAGATCTAAACCCTAAACCTGTAAACCCCTAAACCCCTAAACCCCTAAACCCCAAACCCCTAAACTCTAAATCCCTAAACCCTAAAATCCTAAACCCTAAACCCTTATAAACCCGTTTCCAAGAGCGCACCTTCTTAGTTTCAAATGCCTATACCTAGACCCTCCAATGTAGTACCTTTTTGGTAGCCCTAATAAGAGTCCTAACCAAAAAACCATAGCAAACCCAAAACGGAACTACAGTGGAGGGTCCAGGTAATTCCTATCCTTTTCGTCATTTTTTGATTTTTTGGTAGTATAACTCCAGGGGACTATTAGCATAGCAGGTATAGGTCTAAGAGGATCACAGAAAATTCCCCCACACCCCATCTATAGTTCTTGTGTAGCTACCCATACCGCTATATGAGCTAGAGTGAAAACGCCTTGAACGGGGGTTGCATAAGGGATTATACAGGGTACTATTTCAGGGGTTCTTAAGGGGGATCGTAGGAGTTTAGACTATAGCTCATATGGCACGTATACATCGCTGATGTCAACTTCCCACATTGCAACGCTTCACCCGGAAGTGACCCTAAACCCTGAACCCTAAACCCTCAAGCCCATATAAACTTACTATTATTTAGGGCTCTCCAATTTCCTTAATCTCAAAGTTTTACAGAAACTTCGAAATCTTAAGCTCAAAATGACCCCCTCAAACCCAAACCTAAGTAATGGCAATCAACCTTGACCCTCTGGAAGTGACCTGGGCTAAGGATAGAGATCCTGCTTCATTCGTGGTGTCCGGCAAGGCATACACAGGGCCATGGCACCCCGGCAGATGTCCCCAAGAAATATAATTTAGGGCTTAGGGTTTAGGGATCAGGGTTTAGGGATTGGGGTTTAGGGTTTAGGGATTCGAGATGACTAGAGATTTGGAGAAGAGGTTTAGGGTAGACTTTAATCCTTATTATGGGGGTTCCCCCCCAAAAGGGCAGACCTAATTTGTTGGAAGCCGCCGTTTTCAGGGGGTCTCTCTGGCGGGGTTGGGCCATGAGGTATGGGAATTGAGCCAGTTTTTTGTCCAAGGTCACTCAGTAGTCTGTTACAGAGATCTAGGCAGAGAAGAAATCGCGTCAATGCATGTCTGTCATCCATTGTCAGATGCAATCTCACAGACGGCCGCGGCATGTGTGAACCACCCCTGGGCTTGAGAGTGGCTAAGGAAAACTCTTGTGAAGCAAGTGGGTTTTGAAGCTCCTCAAGATCGCAAAGTGATGGTTGGCCCTTTCGTTTGCAGCTCCTTAGGGGGCAACCAGGCCAAACCATCCATTGACGGCTTGCCCAGCTGGAGGAAGGTAGATGGATGGGGGGAAACCACAGAGACCACCACCACCGAGGAAACCACCCCAGAGCCCAAGGAACCTGAAACAACTACGACCGAGGCCAAGACACCGTTTCCCGAACCAGAGCCCACAACAACAACCTTGCCTCCCACAACAAAGCCACCGGCCACAACTACCACCCAGAGTACAACGCCAAAGACGACACCCACCGAAACCACCACGACACAGAAGAAGACCACAGCAACAACGACCACCACAACTCCCTCAACTACCATAACAACGACCACCCAACCACCTACCACAACAACACTGACCACCACACCAGCAAGCACTTCAACAACAACCACGGACACGACCACCACCATCACTACCACTGTGTTGACACCTCTGCTCGTGGGAAGCAGGGCCGCATCCGAGTCCAAAGCTGCTGGCCAAACGGTGGAGGAGCAGGCGCAGAATGTGTTCCGTAGTTTGCAGAGTTTTAATTCGGCAAAGAAATATTGTATTTTACAATAGGATAGCCCATCACGTTCGCAGTCAAATTTGCTTCCAACTTCCCTATGAAGCCTAGAAGTGAGAGACATGATCAGGCAGCTGCGGCGGCGAAGGCAGCCGTGGACTTTGCAGAGCAGCAGCAGTATACCTTGCAGCAACAGTTCGGGGTGGCTGGGGCCGTGGCTGCGGCTGCAGTGGCAAGCAATGGAGGCACCCTGGAAGAGCAGGCTGCCGCTGCTGGAGTGGAAACGGCCAAGGTGGGAGGCAGCGACGGCCAGACACTTGACCAGCAAGCCTCTGTTGCGGGACAGGCCGCAGCCGAGGTGGTGCAGAAGGCCAGTGGGTCAGCGGCTGCTCAAGCGGCGGCTGCAGGGGCGGCAGCAGCAGCTGTCGCCCGAAGTTACAATGAGGGCACTGAGCAGCAAGCCGGCTTGGCCGGCCAAGCGGCCGCGGATGCAGGGAGGCTGGCTGGCATGACGCCTGAAGAGCAGACAGCCGCAGCTGGCAGAGCATCCGCAATGGCGGCAAAAGCAGAGGGAGCCTCTCCCATTGATGTCGGGCTGGATGCCGGCGAAGTGGCAGCCAAAGCCGCTGCAGAGTCCGGTGAGGACGAAGGGGAGCAAGTAGAAGCAGCTTCGAAAACAGCGGCTGAGGCTGCCAAGTTTGCAGAAGGAACAGGCTTTGAGCAGGCTATCAGCGCGGGACAGGCGGCTGCAGAAGCTGCCAAGACCCAAATCCCAGAACAAAAGGCTGCAACTGCTGGCAAAGCAGCTGCCAGTGCAGCCAAAAGTGCTGGGCTGTCCGGCTCGGAGCAAGCAAAGCTGGCAGGAGAGTCGGCCTTCAATGCCTCTGTACTGGCAGGCTTGCGGCTGGAGAAGCAGGTCTCAGCGGCGGGCGACGCTGCAGAGAAAGCAGCCAAAGCGGCTGGCATGACGCAGGAAGAGCAGGAAGCAGCAAAAAACGCTGCCAAAGCAGCAGCAAGAGCTGCTGCAAACCCAGAGTCGGCACAGACGGAGACCAGCCCTCCAACCACAAAGACCACAGCCACCAAGGCACCCAGCAAGGCCCCTCAGGGTGAACCAGATCCGTTAGACAAAGGCAAAGAAGCAGCTGAACGGGCCATGGCTTCTGGCAAGCCCATGATGGAGCAGGCTGCAGCTGCAGGGGAGGCTGCAGCAAAAGCGGCCGATGAGCAGCAGTACACTCCCACAGAGCAAGTTGAAACAGCTGGGAAGGCAGCAGCGGCAGCAGCTAAAGTAGCAGGCGCCTCTGAGCCCAAACAAGCTGAAGTGGCCGGCATCGCGGCCGCAAAAGTGGCTGCTGCAGATGGGCAAACCTTGGAGCAGCAGGCTACAGCTGCAGGCCAAGCGGCAGCCGCAGCTGCCAAGTCCAGGGGTGCTTCCGCCTCTCGGCAAGCTGCAGCTGCTGGACAGGCTGCGGCAGCCGTAGCACGCTTGAACAATGAAGGATCTGACAAACAAGCAGAGCTAGCAGGCGATGCCGCCGCAGATGTGGCTCAGGTTCTGGGAATGACGCCGGAAGAGCAGACTGCGGCAGCAGGGAATGCATCAGCCAAAGCACTCAAAGCAGAAGGAGCCTCTCCTGTCGACGTAGGGCTGGATGCCGCCGAGGTGGCCGCGAAAGAGGCCGCAGAGTCTGGTAAAGCCGAGGACGAGCAAGTAGAAACAGCGTCACAAGCAGCAGCACAAGCCACTAAGCTCGCCGGAGGAACTGGCTCTGAGCAGGCTATCAGCGCAGGCCAGGCAGCCGCAGAAGCTGCCAAGACGCAAATCCCGGAGCAAAAGGCTGCAACTGCTGGCAGAGCAGCTGCCAGTGCAGCCAAAAGTGCTGGGCTGTCCGGTGCAGAGCAGGCAAAGCTTGCAGGGAAGGCGGCATTTGATGCTTCAGCCTTGGCAGGGGTAAGGTTGGAGAAGCAAATCTCTGCAGCAGGAGATGCTGCGATGGAGGCCGCTAGAGCGGCAAATATGACCAGCAGGCAGCAAGAAGCAGCCAAAGCGGCTGCAATCGCAGCAGCGAGTCCCACCACATCAACACTCCGGCCAACCACTACACATGAGTCCACCACACTGATGATGACTACAGAGAGCACCACAACAGTGTCCAGGATAAAGCCAGAGGATGCCGGCAAGCAAGCTGCAGCTGAAGCAAATGCCATGGGCCAGCCCATGAAAGAGCAAGCTGCTGCAGCTGCAGCTGCTGCCGCAGAAGCAGCAAGCGACTTGCAGTACACTCCGCGAGAGCAAGGCGAGGTAGCAGCAAAGGCAGCAGCAGCGGCCGCCAAGTCAACTGGGGCCACCGCGGCCCAACAAGCCACTGTAGCTGGAGCAGCCACTGCTAAGCTTGCAAGCGAACAGGGGCAGACGGTGGAGCAACAGGCTGCTGATGCTGGCCAAGCCGCAGCAGAGGCTGCGAGGCTGGCAGGGGCCGGTGCTCACAAACAAGCAGCTGCAGCAGGACAGGCTGCTGCTGCAGCAGCGGCCGCCCAGAGTGAGGGATCCGAGAAGCAGTCTGAGTTTGCGGGTGAAGCCGCAGCAGAGGCCGCCAAGATGGCGAACATGTCGGCAGAAGCCCAAGCTGAAGCAGCCGGCAATGCTTCGGCCATGGCAGCTAAGGCCAATGGTGCCACGCCAGTGGAGGTGGGGGTCGATGCTGGTGAAGTGGCGGCGAAGGAAGCCAAGCAAGCTGACGAGTCACCACTGGAGCAGGTGGAGGCAGCAGGCGAAGCAGCAGCAGATGCTGCCAAAGCCACAGGGGCTGGGGCAGTGGAGCAGGCAGCCAGTGCTGGACAGGCAGCCGCTGAAGCAGCCAAGGAGGCCAATGAGATCCCACAGCAACAGGCATCAGCGGCTGGCAAGGCAGCTGCCGAGGACGGAGTTGCACAAGATCAGTGGGGCTGATTAGTGATGTAGTTGATCTCATCTTTAACATCTTTAAAGGGAACTTCCGATTGGCGGCGGTGCTGCTTCTACAGTCACGGGTTCCAGGTCCATGGATAATACTTGTATTAGAACCTAGAACTTATAAATCGTATGGGCATCGCGCTATTCGGAGACCTGATTTATGGTTTCTACCGACTCCTGCTAGGGATGAGAGCATGAAGCAGGCAACATCCCGCTGTGTGTATATAACTGCCCTGGAAGACTTCAAAGGGGACTTATGTACAGCGATCAAATGGGGATATGTAGGACATAGTTTTTTATGTAGACTCCTAATTAATAAGCCCCTTCCCCTTAATGGGGATTATAGCAAGGATCCTAATATTAAGGCCCTTAAAAGGAGGGGGTTTATTAATCATGGGTCTACATTAAGGGCACTCTGCGTGGCCAACCCTTGGCCCCAAGCCTTAAAGCCTAACCCTGAACCCGAAACCCTTCATCCTTTACCGGAGGCCCCCTAAAGCTGAAAGCCTACACCTTGAAGCTTTCTTTAAAATTCTTTGCCCTTTACCTCAAATCATTATAACCTCTCAAAAACCCAACTTAAGCTTGATTAAGAATTCCTGAAGCCCTTTACCGTAAATCATTGTAAACTCCTACAAAAAATACCTAAACCTTAAACCCTAAACCCTAAACCCTAACCTCTCAAAAACCCAGCCTTAAACCCTACAACGCCCTGATGCCAGGTGGCCAAGGACGCCGGCATGTCCCTGGACGAGCCTGGGTTGATGTTACGAAACTTAAAAGAGCTATATTCTAAACTCCTTCAAGGGGGTGATATAAGGGGATTATAGGGGTTATATAGGGGATTATAGGGGTTATATAGGGATAATGGACAAGAAAGTGGAAACTACTATTGAGGGTTTAGGGTTTAAGGTTTACAGTCTAAACTCCTTAAAGGGGGTGATATAAGGGATTCTATAGGGTACTACTATAGGGGTTATTAAGGTGGATACTAGGAGTTTAGACTATGGCTCAGGTGCGTGGCCATAATTTGAGTACATAGGGCTTAGGGCTCAGGGCTGAAGTTACCATAGTATGGCATAGTATGGGTATATCGGGTGCAGGGTTTAGGGTTTCAGCTGCCATAATTAGGGTACATAGGGTTTAGGTATAGGGCTTAGGGTTTAGGGTTGAAGTTATTGTAATTTGGGTGTATGGGAAATAATCTGGGTTCCTTGTTATAGTAGTTCACCCTTAGCCCGAAACCCTAAACCCTGAACCCAGAGTATAGTCACTTGATTCAATCAGCTGCTTAAGTACTATGGTTTCCTGAGTGTGATAACTAACCTAAGCCCTAAATCCTATATACCCATATTACAGTAACTCAACGTGAGTTCCGTGACATGGGTATATAGGGTTTAGGGCTTAGGGTTGAAGTTGCCATAATTACAGTGAGTTATATGAGCTATAGTCTAAACTCCTTAAAGGGGATTATATGGAGGATTACTATAGGGCTTATTAAGGGAACTACTAGGAGTTCAGACTATAGCTTATATGCCATAAACCCTAAACCCTAAGCCCTAAACCCTTAAACCCTAAATCCTAAATCCTAAACCCTAAAACCTACATCCTAAACACTAAACCCTAAAACCTAAATCCTAAACCCTAAACCCTGCTTAAGTTCCTTAACATCAACCCAGGAGCAGGCCTCAGTCGCCGGCGCTGCTGCACTCAACGCATCGCTGACGGCAGGGCTGGGCTACAAGGACAGGATTTGGGGTTTAGGGTCCGTGTACAGGGCTTGGGGTTTAGGGTTGTAGGGGCTTAAGGCTTTTCAGGGTTCAGGGTTTCAAGGGTTAGGGTTTGGAGGTTTAGGGTTCAAGGGTTCTAAGGGCTTAGGGTCGAGGGCTGGGGGTTTATTGGTGTGTTCATGGTTCATGAAAATCTAAAGGGCTACTGAACAGGTGTAGGGTCTAAGGTTTCGGGTTCTCTGTGTACGAAAACCCAAGAGTTCCGTGGGCTACAGGGCTCGGGTTTTGTGGTGTATCAAAACCAAAACTCAGGAATGGCAAGTTTATGGGCTACAAGAACAGCTTTAGGGGTTAGGGTGCAGAAGGAAGCCCTAGGCCCTAGAACATAAACCCCAAATCTAAACTCCTAAACCTTGAACCTTACACCTAGGGGCCACAAGGACAGATTTAGGGTTCACCTGTGGAGCTCGGGTACCATAAAGGAATTACAGCGCGATCTGGCGAGCTCCCCCTAACCCTTGTGGTTCAGGGTTGAGGGTTTGGGGCTTAGGGTTTTGAGCCTGGGGTTTAGGTCTTTAACGGTTTAGGGTTGAGGGTTTAGGTTGATATAGGAAGGTCTCGAAGAAATGCCATACGTAGTTCTGTCCAACAAAAAGCCCAAGAAGGATTTGCGATGTATAGCTAGAAAATGATGGGTTATGCCATATCATGGATGCCTTTCCACCTAGTGCCGCGTCATTTTACGTCTGCTAAGTATCCATGAGCTGCCTGAACCCTAAACCCCCACACCCTAAAGATGGAATAATCTTGTAATGTCCCTTTTCTGTTCTCATACCTTTTTGGCGCAATGTTTGCTTAGGAGCCCTAAGTCGGTATATTCGCTTTAAGGGAAACCTCGCCGCAGCCCCGAAACACACCGAAGCAGCCCAGCTGTAGTCTAAACTCCATGAAGGGTGTTCTATAGGGTTTAGGGGTCTAAACTCCTTCATGGGGTTCTACGGGGGATAATTAATATTGGGTTCCTATTATAGGGGTTATGAAGGGGATACTAGGAGTTTAGACTAAAGCTCACATTGTAAGTAAGTTTTCAAGGGGGGCTCTGAACACGCCAAACCCAACTAAGAGGCTTCTTACCCTATCTATACCCTATCCATTAAGTTTCCTGAGTCACAACCCTAAAACCGCTAAATCCTCAAACCCTAAAACTCAAAAACCCTAAACTCTTAACCCTAAACTCTAAAATCCTACCTCCGCCCTAAGTGGATAGAATATGGGGTATATGGGGATCTTATTATATCTTACCCAGAGCCATATTCTACCTACTTAAGGGGGACTATAACCCTAAATCCCTAAACCCTAAATCCCAAACCCTAAATCCCTAGACCTCAAAATCTAAATCCTAACCCCTAAATCCCTAAGCCCTAAATCCTAAATCCCTAAACTCTACACCCTTAACCCTTAGGGTTTAGGATGTTCTTCCACTTAAGGGGGAACTATAAGCCTAAATCCCTAAACCCTAAATCCCTAAACCCTAAATCCCTAAGCCCTAAACCCTAAACCCTACATTCTATCTACTTCAGGGGGGAACTATAAGCACCCCCAACCTCACGGCAGGACCAGCTCAAAGCCGCAGGCGCTGCTGCCGCCGAGGCAGCCGAAGCCGCCGGAGCCAACGAGGAGACACAGCGGTGGAAGCTTAGGGGTTTGGGGTTTAGGGTTTAAGGCTGGGGGTTTAGGGCTTAGGGGGGTTTAGGGCTTAGGGGGGTTTGGGGCTTAGGGGGGTTTAGGGATTGGGGATTTAGGGCTTAGGGTTTAGGGATTGGGGTTTAGGGTTTAGGGTTTAGGGAATGGGGTTCGGGGTTTAGGGTTTGAGGGGATTGAGGTTTAGGGCTTAGGGTTAGGGATTGGGTTTAGGGTTTAGGGGTTAGGGCTTAGGGTTAAGGGTATAAGATTTAGGGTTTAGGGATTGGGGTTTAGGGGTTAGGGCTTAGGGTTCAGGGTATAGGATTTAGGGTTTAGGGATTGGGGTTTAGGGTTTAAGGTTTAGGGTTAAGGGTGTAGGGTTTAGGGATAGGGTTTAGGGATTGGGGTTTAGGGTTTGCTGTGAATTACCGTGCAGGAGGTGATGATTAGATGTCAATGATCCCTCAAGTGCATAATGGCTGCATGCGAAGTGCTGCCATGGCCTGACTGTGGCTGGCCATCCAACGCGATCACCCACCCCACGCCGTCTGAGGCGGCCAAGCCACCCAAAGCTACTCCTTTCAGGGCTTAGGATCTAAACTCAATTATGTCCATCTTGGTCAACAACATAAACAATCTTTTCTAGACAAATCTGCGGGTCTTGAGCCCCTGCAGCCCTGTAGGGTGGGAGGCCCTCGAACCTGAAAAATTGGGCCATGAACTCCACAGCCTTGGAGTTGTTCATCACGAAGGGAAGGGTGCTGTCAGCTCTGAACATGCAAGAGATCATCTACTCGAAAATCTGGTGTTTGACTGGACTGGAGCAGCCTACGACACTTGTCCATCAGTCTCCGAAATGAGTCTGAAAACTGGCGGGATGCAGCTCCAACAGCAACAGCAACTTGCTCTCTGTCGAGACGAAAAAAGCCCCACAGGCCAACGCTTCTTTGGAGGCGCCCTGAAAAAGGCCTGGGAGCCCCTGAAAGGCCTGGCCCCAGGGAAGCTGTGGGGGCTTGTAGAAGGGCTGGGAGCCTTCCGCCCAGAAAGGGCCGTGAAACAGAGAAAAAAGTTTGAAGGAGAAGCCGCATGAATAGAAAGCAGCGTCGCCAGGGAGTCCCGCAGGGGTTGTCCTGAGAGGCTGTAGGTCCATTCTGGTGCCAGTCCGGAGGCCTGTCCCCAAGGCTCGAGCGCTCATGTATATGGCCAGCGGCGCTCTCGCCAGTTTAGGGAGTGGGGTTTAGGGGTAAGGGTTTAGGGTTAGGGCTTATAGATTTTCAGAGGGCTTATGCAGACATACTGTGAATACTCGAAATCCTGCATGATGTTCAGTATCATATTGGGAAGATTAAAGTCATGCAGGATTTTTGTATCAACAATACTTTGCAGGCAGCTAGCAGAGCACAAACGATTTGTAGAGATTTAAGACTTTAGGGTTTAGGCATTTTTGAGGTCTCGGGCTTAAGGACTTGTAGGGTCCAGGTTTTAGGTTTGGGGTTTAGGGTTCAGGGTTTAAGGTTCAGGGTTTTGGGTTTAGGGTGGTAGTAAACCTCCACAGCTTCGACCTCAACACCTGGAGTCCACATC